CAAGTTATTGACAATCTGTTCGTTACTTTTGAATTCGGGAAATTTGATACGTTTCCTGTCTTTATAAGCTAGGAGAATCTGCAGCGAATTGAATGAATCCTGACAAGCACTTGTGAAGAATGGATTTCCTTGCAAGTTCTATGAAGAAAATATGGAATCCAGACCCTGAATTAAAAGGATCCCTACAGTACCTACGATTTCATTTATGTTTATTGATTTCAAAAGGGATAAAAATGCAAAGATCTTAAGAAACCAGTTGTCAAAATCTCAGAAGTGGACCTTTCAGTCGACTGAAATTTGGATTGTTTTCTTCAGCTGACACCTGGTCTAAGGATGTGTTAAGTACAAATTCGTGATTTGGTTCAGATCAATATATATCAACTAGTTTACTTGGTTTAGTGAACATCTTATATTGATTGGCCTTACAAGCGTAGTCCTTCTAAGGGCATATGCGAACACTACTCAGCATGGCTATCCGAACGTGAGTGCAAACAAATCACCAGTTCTGTTGTTGAACACGTAGTCCATTATGGTCATCAATCTACACCACAGTATTACAAAATTATTCAGTCAGAAAAACAGGTTTTAAGAATCTAAAAAGTAAACATGTGCATATAGAAAGCTTTGGCAATCCCTTAATTCAAGCCTGAAGTTAATGTTTAAGAGCGGTATACCAGATCCCTTAATTTACTAAGGACTTGGTAACTCGCTCTTATTTTGCTATTCATTTTTAACACACGTATGTTATGAATTTTCTGATATTAGTTTAACCAAACGAGAAGTGGAAGTCTTGACCTCAGGTATTAAGTCTCATGTCACATAGTTAATTGAACCAAATGAACTTCGAAAAACTTTATTTTACACATCATATTGCGTCTGTAAAACACTTTATTGACACAATTCAGTGTGTATATAAATCTAGAACATGAAAAATGAACTGAGTTCACGTCAATTCACAGTGCTCATTATTTCTGATTTACAAAATTTTTTTCAGACTTTTGAGTGTCAAATCGTAATAACACATCCCAGTAGCATGATGATATCACGAAAGTCCATTTGATGGTTAGTTGGATATTTTGGACCCCCCCCCGAAGAAAAATCTGATCTCTTAACGTCATAAACAGAAAACCCTTATACAGAAACTTTCCCAAAGATACTATGAATTCTCGTGTATGCAGTTTTAAACCATATTTTCATCACTTTATATTTGGAAAACAGATATTAGAATTCACATTTGCTCAAGAGCAGTGGAAAATCGAGATAATCTCTATATATAATGGAATATTTAACAATAACCTTGGAGCTGTATTTTTGTTTTCTGTGTAGTTGATTAGTAAACTTGTAATTATTGATTGGTGGGAACAAGGATCAATGAATTAGAGAAAAATTCTTCCCCTGCCCATAAAATATACACTAGACATTTCTCGGATTTCTATTTTCACAGAAGAGAACGTAAAAACAAGTCAATAAACGGTTCCTACTTCTATTCAGCAAAAATTATCTTGCCTAGTGAAAAGAGACCAAACTTTGGCATGAAATTCAATATATTTTCCAGCCGATATAAACTGAAAGAAAGAAACGCTCTCAATCGACCAGTATTATTAGTTGTAAATACATACACAGACTACCATTAAACTCCTAGAATACACTAGGTTCGTCTTCTTGCAAGATGAAAGCCGCTAGCTTCTTTAAAATGATGGATACTTGAAGTTTATTATTTTACGATTATAACGTAACATTTAGATTTAATTTTCCATATCCACTTAGCATATATCTGGCTTTTTCATCGATCACACAACGGATATGAATTAGCCTGATAGTAAGTTTTTAATATCAATGGACTATAAAAACCATACGAACCTAGTGAAATTTTCTACCGTGATTATTTGTACATGGATAGAGTTTAAGGGGAACACAATGGATCGTAAAACTGGTATGATGATCGTTAACTTCTCCATTCGCTGTTAATCCACGAATACTTGGTGGTTTGGTGAACTGAATTCCCGACTAATGCAGTGTAATCTCATCAAAAAAGTTTGGTTGTGGTTCCCTCTAAAGATAATGATTGTGGCTTTTCAGTCCCTTAATATCCATTTACTTACCGTCAATGCAGACACACGAAAACTACACCAACTCCATTTTGCTATAAATATTCTGAATTCAAGTGTGTAATACATAACAACCTTGGGATTTTGCATCTGATTATGTAAACCATTCACAGTTTTTGACATTATCATCAGTTGAAAGACGATTGGAAGCAAGAGGACAATCGACGAACGTCCCACCATAGTACGTATTACTTTAAGAGGTGAACAATCACAATCCCATGTAAGATTGAATGTAGCACAGGTTTGGTGGTGAGTACAATACCATTTGAGCTACTGAGTTGGATATGAAAGTTCAAAATCTCATCTTCAAACAATTCACAATATTGCATGACTCCAAGGCTTAAACACATTAGTGAATGGACATGGTAAACATAAACCCTATAATTGCTGTCTTATATATCTAACGATTTTTTACTTTTGCATTGATACTTTTTATGTCGATTTACTGGGATCGGATAGACAAATTAACTGATCCATAAATTATTTGGTGATGACTAAGCAGCTTTTACATTGTAATGTTAAATGTTTGATCTGTTAGATTCTTCCAGTACACTCTAGAATTCATTGCTAGAGCTAATATGCATCAAAACAGAGTATTTGCCCGTTCAAATTTACTTTCGAAACACATCATTCTTGAAACAATATAAATTCTTCATATGATTTTGAGATGGTGGAGATTTGTAGTTCAAGTGGATGATTTTGATCGAGTTTTTTTCTCTGAGCTGGATGGTTTGGTCGTGGAGCCATGATATCTCCTCACTTATATCAGAACACGTGGACAACTGCGGACACTCATTCGATTGGAAAAATGTGGAAATCTTATACAGAGGAAACTCCAAAAACATCAGGGAATTTTTTAGAAGCCTGGCACTCATCAATCAGCAAGCATATTGAAATCAATCCAATCTACCAACCAATCAGGAAAATCATGCACAAACATAAAAACAAAAATCAAACCAATGGGAGACAACCAAAACAAAGAAGTAAACAATGACAAATTTAAGGTCAATTAGAACCAATCAACATCGAGGTGCACAGAACAAGCTGTGAAACACATATGAAGAAATTCGAACACTTCACTTCTATTTGAAGTTTGTGCTGATGATGTCGTTCAGAAGACCGATGAAAGCTCCACGACCAAACCATCCAACTCAGAGAACAAAACTCCATCAAAATAAATTCTCCAACTTTATACAATCTGTAAATCACTTACCAAATATAAGTTAACGTACTCAAACAATTTATAATTGAAGGCTAGTGACGCAACAGTACACTTAAACCAATTAGATGAAGCATAATTCGAACTCGCATTCTAATGATTGAAAGTCAAACGCTCTAACCACATAGTCGATGCTTCTAATTTGGTCTAAAAGCTGTTTCTTTCAACTAACTTTGGAAAAAAACCTTATACACACGATATTCACTTCGCTATCATTGTAAAGATAATTATTTGACTTTTAATTTGTTCACACTAACTTCTAGTCGCACTGTGTACACCTTAATACTATAAATCCATAGAGCTTGTAGTGTACTACTTCAGGGTTATGGTCACTTCGCCGAGAACTAAAGTGCTTTGACGAGGAAACGTTTCGAATTTTATATCTCAGAAACTAGCCCATGTCTGATAAAGGATACTAACTCGAGCGTGCTCATAATGTGGAAGCAAAATTAGTGAAGAGTATTTCTAAACTCCCTTACGATGAGCGTTTAAAATGCCTAAACCTTTCCCTCTTGTCGTATCGTAGGACGCGAGTTGACTCTATATTGGCATCTCGCATCTTTAATTATGATTTGAGTGATAACACGTCTTATCGTTTTGCTTCCTCAAGCATTAATCTCCGAGGTAATAGCAAAAATGTTCACAAACCGTGTTCCGATAAACTTAAAGCGGGGTCCCGTTTTCCCCATCCAGCTGTGAGTTTGGAACACCTTACTCGAACAAGTGGTACCAGCCCCATCAGTGAATATTTTCAAGAAGTTAGACCTTCACTGGAAGGTAGTCTCTCAGGGTTAACACATTCACCAGCCTACCATCCCTATTACTGAAGACTAGAAAGCCTTAATATTATGAGATTCAAACAATCGCCGAAATCCTATCGATTGCTTAAAAATAAGACATGCTTTGGGACCGGATGTATGTGAACATTCGATGAGACGAAGACACAGCTGACCTAGGATTATTTCAACAAGTCACCAGAAAGTAAACACCTTGAGACAAATCTGTTGGAACTCGGCGAGACTATAATTTATGGACGAAACAAAATTCGATCACACTTTTTGTCAAATAGCGTCTTGGCATTATAGCTAATGTTAGTTCGTGATGAAACCCTACATCCAATACCCAACTCTAACCACAAACTGTGGATCATAATTCTTCAAGTTGCTTTATAACTCTCATTTAGTTTTAATTATTAGGTAAACACTCAATCACTTTGGCGTCGCTCAAAGGTCATCCATAAGTTATAGTCTCACCTGAAAGTCTAGTTCCTTAAAGTAGGGAAAATCACATGGTTGGAATGAAGCTATCTGTAGTGGTTTTGTCCTTTTGCGATGTAGCCTGGACAAAAAATACGTCATTCACCTTGACTATCTGGAATCAAACATGGGAAGACTTTGAGTCTCCACACATCAACCACATCTATGAAGAAAACACACAAGCAACTTGTTATACAGCTAATCGTAAGACGAAGGCTTTGACCACTTACGATTAAAGGCCCTTAACCTAATAAAGCATATGTCAGCAAACGAAAACTAATGGACACAGCAATTCCATCCAAAAATTACTAGATTACTAAAGCTTCCTATAACTAATATAAATCAACGTGACAAGGTACTAGTACAGTCTAATAGCTTCGCGATCATTCCACATATAATAAGGTACATAAAAAAGAGGAACAAGTCTATAACAATTTATTTTGCTAGTATTAAGTGTCTATTATCTGCACAATGGACTTACATCCATATTTGGACCAGAAGTCTGGTTGAGATGGAAAATAGGCCTAGGTACATGAGGGTATATGCATCCTCAGAAAGCATACAAAATGAGGAAAGCCATTACCAGGCAAAACAGACCCATTGCTTCACTCAGAGCGAAACCAAGGATAGCGTAGGTAAATAGTTGCTGTTTTAGACCAGGATTTCTGGCGTATGCCAAAGTCAAACTTCCAAATACAGATCCAATACCAGCGCCTGATCCAGCACATCCAACAGTAGCCGCGCCAGCACCAATGTATTTGGCTGCTTGATCAATATCTTTTCGGACAGAAGAAATATGGAAGTGGCTTTTGGGGATAATGCATGAAACAGCTGTCGGAGAGAATTTGACAGTTGAAGTCTTCATGACATTGATAAGTGTGGGTCTGAGGACCGCATTGAACAAGGTAACTGGCATCTGAAATAACGATTGAAAACAGTTGAAAGCCCTCACCCAGACTCATTCGTAAACAAACCGAATAAAACAAATGAATTAACCTACCATCCCCAAACGCTAACGTGAAACTCGGCAACAAGACAACTGACCCCAACAATGAGATCTGGACTCGACAAATTAAAACAAGAAATTTTATGGATGATAACTAAGTCTTTCTTTTATGAATTAATACTAACTTTTACTGTGAATTTGCTTTGTAAAGTCATAAAATGTTATACGTGGTTCTTTAGAAGTCCTTAAACGTAATTGTACTTTGAACGTAGTTGAGCATAGCTATTTGTTTTTTTTGAATCTGTGTCTGCTTATTAGAATAGCGTTTCTAGCTATACGAAGGTATGGTCTCTTCCATATTTCTCCAGGAAAACGATTTGGTTTCCAATGGAAGTGATCAAGAGATGAAACGTAGATCAATCCCGATCAGCACTAAATGATTTAAAGTAAACACTTAGTTCTATTTATAAGGCAGGGTAAAGGATCAAACCGTTATGACTTCTAGGAAGAGATTCTATAACTTCTTGAACGGAGCTGTTAAAAAGTTCACAGCATTTTTTTATCCGAGCTCTTTCTTATTTGTCTTGAGTAAATCTCCTCCTAAATGTAGCTTAATGGTGGAACGTATCAATGATTTACCGAGATGAAAGAAATCATAGGAGATGGAGTACGCTGTGCCCCTAAAAGCTTACAACAACTAGTCAGCCAAGCTCATATAATTCCTGGCTCATCGATTATTTAAATATATCTCCGGACTCTTTCATTCCTGAATTCTGATGTGGTTGGCTTTAGAATCCATGACTGTAAATATACTAGAGATAACAAGGTTATTGGACCCTGGGTACGTTCGGCATATTTGGTTGTACACCAAAAGATAACCTATGGGTCTGTTCCTTCCCATATATATATATATATATATATATATATATATATATATATATATATATATATATATATACTTTTGCATACTTTGACATGACCTTGTGTTTTCGAATTTTTCGTTCATTTAAATACTTTATGTTTATTATATCGCAGCTCACGCCCCAAACGTTTAAGACTAAGACTCCCTTGTTCTCACTTTTGAACTTACGCCATTCTAGCCTGCAAATATGAAGGTCTTGTGCTGTGATGCTGAAGTTGACTATCATGAGGACAATTCCTCACAGTATTGAAAGGATTACAGCGCAAGTTCAACAAGCACGTTACACCAGGCATGTTTGCTAGTGATGTTTCCGAACTTCACGACATTTTGAAAAAGGTCATATTTAAAAGTGTAGGTCTAGCCGATTGATAAAGATTCGATCAACCCTTTACAATATCGAATTATGACACGTCTCGGGAACATGATTGTTGCTGCTGATGAGAGCGGTTATTCATCAATAAAATTAGACCGATATGTTTCCAGACAGCTCTTCTTCTCTAAGCTTTCACAAATAGTGTAAGCGGTTCTCGTTTCATTCCAAAATAACGCTGTAGATGAACTAGCTACATCCGTCGATAGGGTTTCAGAGATTCGCACAACACCAACATCGATGTTTGTTCTGTCAAAGAAAAGCCTCAAGTAATTGAAAGTGGAATTACAGATTCCTCTAACACCATCTCTCGCTTTCTTTTCTTTCACTATGATCACAGACGATGCAAAACTCATTAAATAACCTCATCATAATAATGATCCATTTGTAGACCACGAGAAACAGGAATCTCTAGTTGTTGTTGGTACCACAACACTTATGGTAAACCTTCCGAAAATTGCCAAAGATCATGTAGTTTCTTAAGCCTTGAACCTCCCAGGAAATTCTACTGCCAGCACAAATAGAAATCGTAGCCGTTGGATATATCTTCATTTCATGTTTCGGCAATATGGTGACGAGATTCCGCTATCTCATTGACACTGACGTATAAGTTAGAGTCCTTCCTGAATATCTAAATATCATCTAAAAGATCCGGTCTTTGGTTTATAGGTGGAAATCTGGAAGACGATAGCCATTTACGATAGGAAGTGCTCTTACCTTAACCCTAATTTATGCAAACCCGTCCGTCGTATTTTTGTTGTTGTAGACGTATCAACGCCAACCTTAGGAGTAGACTAGTTTAAATTCATGTGGCGTTATCGGATTATGGCCTATGTTGATATCAGTGCACTTATATATGGTACTAGAATAATAGACCCTTTCCATAAATGTAGATTTGTTATGTGACTACCTAATCTACAAAATCTTGCATGGAATTCACATCATATCTACACTGACTCTTCTTACTTGAAAGTTTGGAATATAATGTTTAACTCTTCTGAAAAATACGTTTACGATAGGGATAAAATAATACATTTGGTATGAAAAAGAACCAGTCACATAGTCATCGAGCCTTTACAGCCGAGTCACACCAAATCGAATGATTGTTCTCGCGTTCACCATTTTTGCCATTCTTTTTGGTACTAAATGTTGAACGTAAATCTTTTCAGTTGTCGCATGTTCGGCTTCCAGGATTGTGTGGTTGAGAGTTTCATTTTTTGGATGTACGTTATCCCCGTTAGAATTAGGCAGTTCACTGAGTCGTAATTCCGACCGACAATTGATAGATTTCCCTAACCATGAAAACCGCAACCGAAATAAAGTTATGTAATCAGAAGGTTAGTGGATATGTCAACCTGTATTAATGCTTGTAGTAAGCATCCGAGTGAAGCCTTATTATGATATTTGTCCAGACAGACTAATAAGTACAATTCTTATGTAAAGTTTCATTTTGGAAAGGATAGGAGGCTTGATGGCCTGTGTTAGTCCTGGCAATGGTGATCTCTCGGTTGACCCAACTTTCTTTTGAAAGCGTCGATAGATGGAGCTTCAACCACGTGCTGAGGTAATGAATACCACTCGTTGATGATTCGATGGGAAAGTCGCTAGTCAATCGACAAGTTTTTTGTTTTGGGCTTTGATTTTTTCGGAATATCCTCGTAAATTCTGTTTTGGAAGAAAAATGAGGGCATATCAGGTGCAAATTTATCACTAGGCATTTTGAAAACTGAAATCAAATCGCCTCTAGTTCTACGATATGACAACGGGAATAGATTTAGCCTGGCCAGTCGAGCATCATACGGGAGCTTTGCTATTCCGGGAATCAGCTTAGTTACTGTTTTCAGGGCTTTTTCTAAAAACTCACAGTCTTTTGAGCAGGGGCTAGCCACCTGTTTGCAGTACTCATGTTTAGGACGTACAAACACCGTATACGAAGTCAAAAACGTTTTAGTGTCGACATGACTAAAAGCCCTACTTATTGACCATTAGGTTCTAAAACCTTTGGAGGCTATTGCATGGCAGTGTGCAGTAGTCTTTAAGTATTGGCTAACGATTACTACTAATTCATTGTATGTCTGGACGACAGGTAGCTTAGTGCTATTCATCATGTATGTATCTGTACGTTGATGACCGACATGCACCACAACACACTTGGAAGTATTTATCGGCAACTGCCGGGTTTGAGACCATTCAAATAATTTCTTCAGGTCAGTTTGGAGTTCTTAGCTATCACCCTTACATCGTATCGTTCTCCGTATCTTGACATCGTCAGCATATAGCAAGACCGATGATGACAGGAGACGAGGAAGGTCATTTACATACAAGAGGAATAGCACTGGCCCCAAAACTGTGCCCTGGGGCACTCCATAGAGCACAGTTTCCCAGCTAGATAACTTTGAGTTCACCCGTACTCTTTGTTGGCGCCCAACTAGGAAGTTATTTATTCACATCAATAGACTGCCTTCAATTCCGACATTTCTCAGCTTATATAACAGCCGGATGTGCGGAACTTTGTCAAAAGCTTTGCTGAAATCAATGTAGGCTACGTCTATAGGTAACTTTTGGTTCTTAAGAACACATTGGCTTTCACGAGCCACCAATAAGTTAGTGAGACAGGCATAAATTGTTCTAAAACCATGTTGCTTCTCCGAAAGGATCCGGTTTTCATCAAGGTACTTAAACAGCTCATTTCAAATAATCTTTTTTTAAGATTTTAACAACCACACTAGTTAAACTAACGGGTCGGTAATTCTCAGGCTTATGTTTCGTACCTGTTTTGAAGACAGGACTTACTATGGCGTCCTTCCAGTCTTTTGGTAAACGACCCTGGGTTACGGACAGATTAAAGCATATACTTAAAGGGTTCGCAACGATGATAGATAATTCCCTTTGTAGTCTAGAATGCAATTCATTAGGCTTCGTGGATTTATCTATGTCAAGCTCATTTAGCAGACCAAAGACATCAAGTTCTTTAATGGTCACGTTGTCCAGTGTTTGTGTGGAGGGATTTGTATGCGCTGACAAGAGGGGTGCTTCTATGGTACATACACCGCTAAAGTACACTTGAGCCTTATCAAAGTCGTCCTCCACTATTGATGCGACAGTACTGTCTCCCAATAGTGCAGGAATATTTCCCCTTCTTTCTGTATTTTGGTTTATATAGGAATACAAGCGTTTAGGACATTCTATGGATTCCTTAACAAGTTTTTCTTCGTACAATTTTCTAGACTTACGGAGAGTCGAGGCACAGATATTCCGAGCTTTTTGATACTGAGATTTTGTCTCATCAGTCCCCAACAACCCAAATCTATCCCATATTTCTCTTCTCTTACGGAGAAAAATGCTAACCTCCATACCGAACGAAGGTGGAGCGTCTCTCACCTCCCACGGTGTAGTATAAGGGATGTGGGGTGTTAACAGTTGAGTATAAATTTCGAAATACATCCCAAGCCTTTTCGATTGATAATAAAAATTTATTTCTATATGAACATGTACACGCCACTTTTACAAACATGATCCATAAATTACATTCGTTGGCTCATAGCATGCTTCTCAAGTAGTCGTTAAATAAATGAAATCAATAAAATTGAATAACTTACATTCGTGCAGATGTCTTCGAGTGTTAATGATTGGGTTTATGATTCAGTATTACATTGAGTACAGTCTCCAACTATTTTCCAAAGTGGTATCGCGTTCACGCTGCACACCAGTTCCAAACTCGACATGGTCGTGCTAACTATTCACACGATACAACTTTTTAGGTTTATAGTTGTTATAAAGTAGACTTGTGGAGCGCTTGGTGTGAACCATGACTTTGAGGAGACGCGTAGG